AGTTGCCGTAGTTCTATAAGAATGGAAATGAAGCTGTGCAAAAGAAGGGCACTAGTCCTAGTCCTTAGTGGTGATTACCTTGTAGATTGGAGATGTCTTTTAGTGACTGAAAATTTAGTCCGAAAAATTGGTCAAAGTGTCGCAGGACTTTTTCGAACAACCTATATTTTCCCACAACATATCGCGCTCGCTTCACCCTAAGTCCCACAGACAGCGATACCAGAAAAAAACCAAATTTAAGATCGGCCGTGATTTCAGAATTCAGTATAAATGAAGATCATAATAGTGGTACTGAGAAACTTACGTGCAACACGTTCTGTATGGCATGAGATCCAGTTGATAATTTGACATTGTTGGAATGAATGGTGGCTGACGGAACGGTGACGCACCAAACTTGTGCGCGCGAGCTGGTGTACCCGGTTGGAAAAACCTGTAATATAATTGAAAAGGTCAGTTACTAGGAAACTAACATGGTACGAAATCTGAGTGCTGAACAAATTAGCTGAACATATAGGTTGTAAAATACAGATATGTCCTCCTTCCCAGCCCACTCCTGCTAGGGTCAACCCATTATACCGCGTTTATACTTTGCGAACATAGAGAACAGGCGATTCGAAAAATTGCTCGGGGGAACGGGCCGTTCATTAGTGGATGAAGTTCGACGATTATCGTCGAGTCGCATTCTCCAAGAGCACGGCTTTCGCCCATTCGCGAACTGTCAAAGCGACCGTACCTGTTATAATCACCATCCGGTTCCCAATCATCAGTGAACATTAGATATCCGTCATAATCGTAGCAGCACTGCTGCGATGAGCCGGTTGAGCTGAAATTGGAAGCTCTTAGGATTTTCAACAGCCAAAGAAAGACGTTCAGCAGATTAGTTGATGGAAGTTGTTTTCATTGCTAAGAAGCAACCCACGCGAAAACTAACAATTAGTGCTGTTTTTTTCATGTAGAAGTAATCAATACCAAGGCCGCGTTTATACTTTGCGACATCAGAGAATGGAAGAGTAGTGGAGTAGGGAAATGTGGCCAAAGAAAAGTATTAGAATTGATCTAGCGAAATGGAAGAAGAGGAGAATCGGAGATGGTGCAAGACGAGAGTATATGTGCCTAAGGAGTAGTTGAGATCCGATTGACTGATACCCTTCTACAGTCATTATCACTGCAGTCAGTCGGGGCGGATAGGCGTGTCAGCAATGCGTGGGTTTTGGCGCGGAGTCAGGCCGTTTTCGTTCTCCATCGATCGCTGCGGCTTCGGGAGTTGAGTGGTGGAAAAGGGGCTGCCGCTGCATCAAAACGCGCACCTGGCTGGCACGCCCCGAATGACTTCAGTGATGATGACTGTAAATTTTAATTATAAGTTTACCAATTCCCGCAGTCTCTAACTCTCTTATTCTCGCAGTTCGCTAGCGACCGGAGTCAATCGATTCCTACTGGCTCCCTTTCGCGGATTATCCTATTCTCTAACGCTGCAAAGTGTGAATCTAACTGAAAAGCATGCAAGCAAATTGACCAACCCTTGCTGAACGCCTTGAGATGCGTGCTAGAGCTCGCTTTGTCACTGGAATGATGTATCGCCCAATCCTTGTTCACAGATCCATAATGGGTGCATATTATCTACCAAGATCAAGCAGGGCCTGAAAACAGATTGTTTAAGGACTATATCAGCCGTAATCGATGATTCTTCACAAGCAACACGAATACATGGTTAATGAAAGCATCTTTCAGTTAGTCATCCCAGGAACAATAGAGGATATTGAGTGGTTGGCTTTGCCACAACGCAACCGCTCGCGTCAGTGGTTGATAATCGCACATTTAGCTAGATTAGCAATAATCATAATCAGTACCTGAGACATTTTACATGGGCAGGGGATGTCTTTTGTGAGATCCATCTGGAAATTTCTGCGTTTACCATCGTACTCAAACCATTCAATACACATATCCAAGGCCCAGTTCAAGCCATAGTGCTTCTTCCAATCCGGTAAATAATACCTGCAGTAAAAACTTATAACCATGTATTAGTTTGTTACTGCAGATTTCAATGATTCTAGAACGTCTCAGGAGTAGCTAGAAGAATCGATAATCTGTTAGAATCAACACTGACCAAGGGAACGGCGTTGGCCTACTCCACAAAACACCATCTTCTGTATCTGACAATGATACACGCACGAATCCAAATGTGAATTTTTGCCAAGCATTCTGTAAACCGATAGATCGATCACAACTGTAGCCTTACCGATTGCTATGAAATAGATCAGAGGATTTGATACCGATTACCTTAATCAGGGGTTGCCGTGTAAGCGAAGCTGGTTTAAATGAGTAGGAACCAGAGTTCGTGACACCTTTCGCCAAATAGTCCACTTGAACAAAATGAGATCTATAAAGTACAAATACTCTTCAGGGCTACGGTAGGGTTACGGTGCAATCACTAAATCAATACCGCACCGATCGGCATCTTCCCAGTAGCCGAAAAGACTAATATCAACGCGAGCACCAAAGTTGTACGTTAAATTCAACGCTTGCCAGGACATTGTCAACGTTTCGGCATACGGCTGATACCTACAAGCA